GACATCTTTACCTAGATGGACCACAGGCACCTCACACTGAGGTCTTTTCGTGGGTATGTTTTTCCCTAAGAAGTATATTCTTCATTTTCTGATACTCCCTAACCTTGGTAATGCCATTACCATCTACCTACCTGGTCTCCTAAGGCTAAACTATTATCATCATTCTCAGACAGGGTCTCACTAATGCACTGACTTGCTGAGAATGGGCTCAAACTTGCAATGCTTGTGCCTCAGCCACACAAAGAGCTGGGGATATAGCTATCCCCTGCTTCACCCTTAAGTGCATGTAGTGACCTGGATCTAGTTATTCAGTCTTGTAAAGATCAGTCCCGATTTGCTCGGTGTCGGTATATGTGCTGCCAAACAAGCACTCCCAGATTTTGCATACTGCTTTAATTTATCTTCTCTTAAGCTTACACTATTAGCAGGTCCTCTCCTTGCCTCAGAACATACCCCCATCTAAGCCACATTTTACTATTGGAATTATCATTACCTTGGGCCAGGGAGATAGCACAGTAGAATAAGCGCTTGCCTGGTAAATGCAGGGTCCTGAGTTCAATCCCCGGTACCGCAAAAAAAAAAAAAAAAAAAAAAAAAAACCTGGAGTGGGCACTGGGGATCCAAAGATCCACAACTTCTGTGGCCAGTACACACACACAAAAAGAATTATCATTACCTGCTAGGGTATTCCTCCAGTTGTAAGGCTTCCATTCTGCATATCCTGACTCCCAGGGTCCTTCTGAGGCAGTGGAGCAGTGAGAAGGCAAGCCCCTTCTCACATCTCCACATCTGTTGCATCTTCTCTGATTCGTTTTTCTGTTAGCTGGAGAGAGCTTTTATTTGTCCTGAAGTGAGAAAACTGCCCTAGAGTATCATATAATGTTCTTTCCTCTATTGCTCATTGTTAAAATTCCATGGTCTCAATCCTTCAGGTTTATGGTGGACATGGGGGCACACACCTGTAATCCCAGCACTTGGAGAGCTTAGGCAGGAGGATTGCTGCAAGTTTGAAGCCAGCCTGGTCAGCATAGTGAGCTCAAGAGCAGCCTGAAATACATGACAAAAAAAAAAAGCAAAACCAAAATGTGTAACTATGAATCCTTCAGGGTATTTTGCCTTTAGTTCCAAAAACCTTTTCTTTTTCCTCAGAAAACTTAACTCTGAAAGCCATAATCTCAAGACCATATTCTTTTCTAAGGGCCAAATAATAATATCATCTCTGGGATGTTGAGGCAGGAGGATCACAAGTACAAGCCCAGACTAGGCAACTTATCCTGTCTCAAAATAAAACATGAGAAAGGGCTAGAGATACAGCTTGGTGTGAAGGCTTTGGGTTTACTCTCCAACTATATA